TCTCCAACACTACATGTTTCTGAGGATCTAGCCCAGGGTTGCCACGAACCTCCTGGCCACTATCAGAGGATGGGGGGCTAGAACTGCCAAATCCAGGCTGGGAAACTTGAGGATATTTGGGGGTGGGGCCCAGAGGGACCTCAGTGGGGCACAGTGCCACAGAGTCCACCCTCCAAAGCATCCATTTTCTCCAGGGGAGTTGATCTCTGTAGTCTGGAGACGGGCTGTAGTTCCAGGGGATCCCCAGGTCCCACCTGGAGGTTGGCATCCCTACAAGCGCCACGAGCCAGACTCCTTGGGTAGGGAGAGAAGAGCAGATATGCCCAGAGGGTTTCCAGATCTGGAAGACTTGGGTGGTGGAGCCTGGGGGAGGGGAGGGTTTGGGGAGGGGAGGGACCTCAGAAGGGGATACTGGCAAAGAGTCCACCCTCCGTAGCAGCCATTTTCTCCAAGTAAGGCGCCCAGTTTCCAGAGGGCGGCTGGAATTACAAGTGGTCTCCAGGTAAAAGAGATCAGTTGCCCTGGAGAACATGGCTGTTTTGGAAGGTGGACTGTATGATGTTATACCCCACTATGGCCTCTCCCTTCCCCAAACCCTGTCCTCCCCAGCCTCCACCCCCCAAATCTTCAGGGATTTCATGATCCACAGTTGGCGGCCCAATCTCCAAAGGGACTGATCTCTGTAGCCTGGAGGACAGTTGTAGTTGTCATTCCAAGAGATCTCCAGACTCTGCCTGGAATTTGGCAACCCAAAGTTGCCTTCAGTTTGCTGTAGTGGTTAAGTGCGCGGACTCTAATCTGGGAGAACCGGGTTTGATTCCCCACTCCTCCACTCGCAACTGCTGGATGACCTTGGGCAAGCCGTAGTTCTGATAAGAGCTGTCCTTGAAAAAAGAGCAGTTTCTGCCAGAGCTCTCTCAGCCCCACCCTACCTCACAGGGTGTCTGTTGTGGGGAGGGGAAGGGGAAGGAGTTTGTAAGCCGCTTTGAGACTCCTTTGGGTAGTGAAGGGCGGGGTATGAATACAATCTCTTCTTCTTCACTTCTCCTGAGTCATGCCCTTGATCTGTCAAGCTGAGAGCTGTCTATTCTGTCTGGCAGTGGCTCTGCAAGGTCTCAGGCGAGGTCTTTTGCATCGCCTGCCACCTCGTCCTTCTTAACTGGAGATGCCAGGGACTGAACGTGGGACCTTCTGTAGCCAAAGCTGATGCTCAGCCGACCACTAATCCCCTTCCCCCTAAAGTTACAGTCACTTCAGGAAGAGCCAGTCCTGCTACATAACAGCAAGATCCACCCTATTCCCTCACTGTGAGCAGCCTGTTGTGCTAAGCCCCTCGCCTGCCTGGCCATGGCTGCATTTTCTTGAAGGCACTTGACCCTTTTACAATGGGGGGGGGCATAGGGTTGCCAGCTCTGGGTTGGGAAATACCCACTGATTTTTGGGTTCAGCTCCTGCCTTCCCCCCTCCCCCGGAAATTGAGAAGTCCACGCCCCTGGTTACAGATGAATCCCAGTCCAGAAACGCTTCTTGATGTGGCAGGTGGTAGCTACAAAATAAGAAGTAGCTTTGCATTCTATAAAAAAAAACCTTTGTGTGAGTGTGTGCCCTTGCAAACTTGTTATCTGCTCGCACATGCGAATGGTCCGCCAGGCGTATAACAAAAGGATTGTTAATGTTTCTTAATCTGTTCTGGATGGGCGCCTATTGATAGGAGGTGTCTCCCCAGGGACTCTGCTGAAGTACCCAACAGAGCTCGGGGGAGGCGTTCCCCTCCCCACACCCTTCTCAGCTGACGGGAGAAGCGGCTGGGCATCAGTGGGTATGACAAAGGGACCTGTTTGGGTTTGCCAAGACAGAAAGCAGTGTGCTTGCTTAGTCAGGTTACCAACTCTGGCTTGGGAAATTCCTGGAGATTTGGGTGCACAGTCCGGGCACCGTGGGGTTTGGGGAGGGGAAGAGCCTCAGTGGGGTATGATGCCATAGAACCCATCATCCAAAAAGCGGCTATTTCCCTCAGGGGGACTGATCATCTCTGTAGTCTAGAAATCAATTGTGATTCCAGGAGATCTCCAGGCCCCACCTGGAGGTCGGCAAGCCTAGGACTAAGACGTTCTAAAGGTGCAGGGCCCCTTTCTTTCTCTCTTTCTTTTTTTTGGGGGGGTAGTAGATCTGACACTCTACAGAGAGGTCTTCACAAGGCTGAAGTTGCCATGCGGTTGCATCGCTCTTCTCCAAAGGGAAGCAACCCCGGAAGTGCTGGTCCTAGAACCTCTCCCCACACAAGAAACTGGGAAGCATGTAAGGTATTTTTTTTTAAGTTGTCCAACCGCTGCGATGTAGTTCAAGCCCCATTTTGAAGCCCTATTGTTTTCAGCCAGAGAGTTCCACACAGTCTCTTCGATTGTAACATGCAAGTATGAAAACAGTGTTTTGTTGGATCGTGCCCTTCATGTGAGGTCCAGCCGGGTGGTGAGTCCTGAGAATGTTGGTGAGTCCCGAGGATCTTGGCACAAGCATCACTCTTGTGTGTCAATGCATGTACACCCTGCATGCGTCCTGCATTCTGTCTACACCCTGCATGCGTCCTGCATTCTGTCTGTATTTATACAAACCTAACCCTTGCATGAACAAGCAGTTGTGCTGACTTCTTCCCTGTCTCTGTCTTCCTTATTATGTCAGTCGTTTGAAATGCCAACGTAATCCAAAGAACTAACAATGATAAACAAAGTATAGTTTACTTTGGGTGGGGCAGTATATCTCTGTGAGGTTTACGTACATCTGGTGCCATCTGGGAATGCCCATTTAAGTACATCTGCCTCGTTATAGATATATATCTGTACAGCATCTGGACAGTGAACAGCAGTGCTGTCTCAGACGGCTTCTACAGGACTGTATATTTAACATTGTTTGCCCTTTCTCTTGATGGAGAACTTTGGGGAACTGTTAGGTCTTGGAGGGACTAATGAGAACTAGGGATTGCTCATGGATATTTTTCAGTTCCTCACCAAAAGAAATCCCAGGTGTTTGAGGGGAAAACCACGGGTGATTCTGCATCTGGCATTCGCTCCACGTTTTCTCAACACTGAGGAAAAGGTGCGGCTCAAAACCGCATTCGAATACCCCGGGGCAACGCCGTATGGACTGCGAAGTCACCCCTGAACAGCCATAAGGTACCATAAAACCCGATGAGCAAAGAAAGTGAAAGCGGCATGCAGCGTAGAGGGTACCATAAAATCCGATGATCAAAGAAAGTGAAAGTGGCATATAATGCAGAGGGGTGTTTCTGTTCCAAGGTGGGTTTGCTAAAACAACGGAGGGAAAAGCCAATGCAGAATCGCCCCATAACGGTATGAAAAGCTGTCATTGATTTGTAGTTGATAAATGTGGTAAAATTAGGGTTTCCAGCTCCAGGTTGGGAAATACCTGAAGGTTTTGCGGGTGGAGCCTAAGGAGGGCGGGGTTTGGGAGGGGAGGGACTTCAATGGGGCATAATGCCATAGAGTCCACCTTCCAAAGCAGCCATTTTCTCCAGGTGAACTGATCTCTGTTGCCCATAGACAGGGGTCATTTCACAGAAAGAGAGGCGCAGGAGCTCATTAGCATAACTCATTAGCATAACTTATTTGCATGTGCCACACCCCTGACATCACCGGAAGTGTGTCAGAAGGCAACACCCACCGCTCAGGCTCCACTGGACTGTTTTGGATTGCTAGCTAGATCTGTCCTCGCAGGGGAGGGAGAGCTTGTACCTGAATAAAACTTGGTCTTAAAAGTGCCACTGGACTGTTTTGGACTGGGGGGCCGGGGGGGGCTCTGCAACTTACCTGGCTGCTTCTTGCTCTGACTGAGGGGTGCTGGGAGGAGGGGGTGGGGCTTGTTGTATGTGCCTGCCCCCTGGGCTCTTTACTGCTGGAGCTCCACTCCTGTGCGCTCCTGCAGGAAATGACCCCTGCCCATAGATCAGTTGCTATCCCAGGAGATCTTTAGCCACTACCTGGAGGTTGGCAACTCTAGGTAAACCCCCACTTTAACTGGAATGGGTCCCCAAAAGAGCAATGGAAGAGGGAGCTCTGTCCATGGAAGCAGAAGACACAGAAGTTTCAGGCAACAAAAGTCGACTTGCTTGAGTCTGCCAAATGGAAAAGCTGTGGCCAATGTGGATTAAAACAATCGGGCTTATATCCAGACAGGAGAGAGGCCAAACGTCCAGTCAGTGGGAGTAGAGTTACTCCTGAACAGGATTTCTGCAGACAAAAATCCAAGGAGCCAGAAAATAAAAGAAAAATGGGTTTTTACAGGCCCCTCTTGTCCCAACATATATGGCTATTGCTGGCCAGATCACTTCAAGGTTTCCCCCTTTTGCTATCATAAGAGTTTCCCTCCTTTTAGGCTGAGGAATGAGCTCAGTAGAAACTCAGTAATTCTAAGGAATCCTAAAACAATGGATGTCCTGTTCTCTAACCACAAAGGAAGAGAAACCTGTTTCTCTTAGGCAGAATTGGACAGTTTCTGAGGCCCTTGTTGCTCAAGAGTACTACCAGGTAATAAGAACGAAAGAAAAGTCTTCCTAGATCGGGCCAAAGTTTCGCTACGTCTTGCTTTCTGTCTCTGTCAGAGTGGCCAGACAGATCCTGCCTCAGGGAAGTTCACAAGCAGGGCATGACGGTTATGGCCTGATTCGCCCTCTGTTGTTTGGATTCCAGTATGTAGTCAGAGGTATTTGGGCTCTGTCCAAACTAGGAGATTCTGTTTAGCCAATCGACCTGTCCTCTGTGCTTTTGTCTAACCCAGGAGCCCCCAACCTTTTGAAATCTTGAGAATGGGTAGTTAGTGCCATAATAAAAGGGTTGCCATGGGGATGCAGCCAACCACAAAATCACTATAATGGGTGGCTAGGGATGACAGCCTTCAGGTGGGACTTGGGGATCCTCCAGAATTACACTCATCTCTAGACTAGGCTGCGGTGGCTAAGAGGTTAAGATACTGAGCTGCAGACCGGAATGTCTGTAGTTCGGCAGCTCGAGGCTCTAGTGCTGTATGGCAGAGTGAGTTCCCATCTCTGGCCCCAGCTCCTGCCAACCGAGCAGTTCGGAAGCAAGAAATTGCAAGCAGATGTACTGCTTTGGTGTGAAGGTAACAGCGTTCCATGTGCCTCAGCGTTTACTCATGCTGGCCGCATGACCACGGAGAAGTCTTTGGACAGCGCTGGCTCTCCAGCTTAGAAACGGAGATGAGCACCGCCCCCTAGAGTCGGATTCGACTAGCTTTCAAGCAAGGGAAACCTTTACTGGACTAAAGAGATCATTTCCCCTGGCATAGTAAACAACAGAGGGAGCAACATCATTAAAACATAAACGTTTGACACATTCCAAAATAGAGGCAAAAATCTGTAAGCCAAGCCAAACAAAGGAAACATATAAACTTACGAGACGTTTATGCCTTGATAGCCCAGGCATCTTGTCAGATCTCAGAAGCTAAGCAGGGTCAGCCTTGTTCAGTACTTAGATGGGAAACCACCAAGGAGTACGAGCGTTGCTATGCAGGGGCAGGCAATGGCAAAGTACCTCTGAACCCTATGTGGTAGCCATAAGGTGGCTGCTACTAGTGGCAAAAAAAACAACAACACGTTTGTGAGGTAAAAGTATAATCTCTCTTGTTCACCCTGAAGCGACAGTATTTTTGGCTCTAATATTATTTGTGAGGGAAAATAATATTTATCTACATCTGCCTAGGGTTGCCAAGTCGACTTACCTGCAAAGCGGAGGGATTCCTGGCTCTGTTGGGGGCCTCCCTGCGCACGCGCGCCACCATGACGTCACTGAAAGTGACGTCATCGCGTCGCCCACGTTGGGGGCAGGGCACCGTGACTCGAGGGGAAACCATAGAGTTTTCCCTCGATTCACAGAGTGTCTCCCCCACAACGTGGCCAGCGTGATGAGGGACGCCCTCCGGCAGGGGGTGGAGTTCCCCCCGGGGCAAGCCTACATCTGCCACACAATCCATATTTTGAAAAAGTTCCATCATGCCCCTCCTTTAGTCTTTTTCCTTATCTCCAAATCTGAAAGGCATTCCCTTTCCTTGATAGGCAAAGTGCACCAATCCTTTGATCATTTTAGCTGCCCTTTCCTTGACCTCTTCCACCATTTCTATCATATCTTCTTTGTTTCTTTGTTTTAAGACGGGGTAGACCAGAGATTAAATTAATTTTTGGCCTCGTTGCTCCATTTAAACATAACCAAGGTCAAATATTTAGTTAGGTTTTTTTCTGTTAGACAATGCCAGGGGTCCAGTCAAGAATTTTTCCTTGCCAATACTAATAAGATTAACAAAAAGGTGGCTCTGTTTATTATATTTTATTGTGCGGTGTGGTTAACATTTTATTTGGTCATATTGTAAGCTGTCCTGAACACATGGAAGGAAGGGTGGGATATTAATTTAAAACTAATCAGTAAAATGTGTTCCTATATATTCTCTTTCATGGCTGTGTTTTATTGATTGTATAAGATCTACTTTACATGTCATTCGACAGTGTTCTTTTTAGACTATTTTATTGATTTTTACCATTTTATAATAATATATGAGTAAAATAGTATTTTTAGGTAAAAAAACACATTCATACACATACACACATTAAAGAGGAGTGTTGTTTTGTTCAGTCGCACAGTCGAGTCCGACTCTTCACGACCCCATGGACCAGATCCCGCCAGGCCTTCCTGTCTTCCGCCGTCCTCTGAAGTTTGCTCAATTTCATGTTCGTTGCATCTATGACACTTATTGTCTAACCATCTCATCCTTTGCCGTCCCCGTCTTCTTTGAGAGAGAGAGATAAAAAAGGCCGTCCACTTCATCCTCCTTCCAGCTTCCAAATTTGAGGAAGGACAAAACTGTAGATAAAAACAGTGGATAAAACGCGGGGCTCGGCATCAAACATCTGCCTCAGCCGCCATCTTGCAGTGTATATCTCGTCTTCTTTGACCTTCAGTCTTTCTCAGCATCAGGGTCTTCTCCAGTGAGTGCTCCCTTCTCATTTGGTGGCCAAAGTATTGGAGCTTCAGTTTCATTATCTGGCCTTCCAGGGAACAGTCAGGGTTGATTTCTTTTAGGATTGACTGATTTGATCTTCTTGCAGTCCAAGGGACTCTCAAGAGTCTCCTCCAGCACCATAGTTCAAAAGAATCAATTCTTCGGCGCTCGGCCTTCCTTATAGTCCAACTCTCGCAGCCATACATGACTACTGGGAATACCATTGCTTTGACCATGCGGACTTTTGTCGGCAGGGTGATGTCTCTACTTTTTATCATGCTGTTTAGGTTCGCCATCGCTTTCCTCCCAAGGAGCAGGCGTCTTTTAATTTCATGGCTGCTGTCACAGTCTGCGGTGATCTGGGATCCCAGGAACGTGAAGTCTGTCACTACTTCCACGACTTCCCCTTCTATTTGCCAAGGAGTGATGGGGCTGGATGCCATGATCTGAGTTTTTTTGATGTTGAGCTTCAAGCCCTCTTTTGCGCTCTCTTCTTTTACCCTGAGCAAGAGGCTCTTGAGGTCCTCTTCACTTTCTGCCATTAGAGTGGTATCGTCTCTGCATATCTGAGGTTGTAAACTTGAGTAGAAACTCAAAAAGGTGTTCCAGTGATGGATATAGACATTGTATTGGTACAATATGTGAACTGAGAGCTTTAATTCTGCAGTGTGTGTGTGTGTGTGTTACATGCTACCAAGTCACTACTGACTTATGGTGACCCTATGAATTAATGGCCTCAGAAACATACTATTGCTAACAGCCCTGCTCACAATCTAAGGGCTATGGCTTCTTTTATTGAGTCAATCCATCTCATGTTGGGTCTCCTTTTTCTCCTGTTGCCTTCCACTTTTCCAGGCATTATTGTCTTTTCCAGTGATGCTTGTCTACTCATAATGTGACCAAAGTACGATAGGCTCTGTTTAAACAGTACAAGGGGTCTTTCCAAGCCAGCTGGTTCAGCAAGAAACAGGCAATCGAAAATATAAAATGTAGAAATTAAAGTCATCTTTCTTTAATTGGGCTTATCGGGGGCTTTTTAAAAAAGAAGAAGAAGAAGTGCAGGAACTCTCAAGAGGGAAATGAAGTTTCATGAACTTTTAAACACTTTCAAAAATAATTTTGTTGAAGAGGTTCTGGAACTCTTTTCCGGCACATTTCTGCAGAAAAAAAGCCCTGGCTTATCCATTATTTCTCTAAGTTACAAACTGTGGTCAAGACAAATCATATTAAACTAAGTAACGGTGCCTGGTTGAAGAGTTCAGTATGGGAGAATTGGTTCCTCAGTGCAGGCTCATGCAGTATGCTATCATTTAAAAAATAAAACTGATTCCTGAAGTAGGGCTGCCAAGTCCCCTCGGGGGGCGGAAATCCCCCTGCCGCAGAGGCCCGTTCCCCGACGCCGGGGAATCGGGCCCCGGGGGGAACCCCGCCCCAGCGTACACGTCACAGGGAAGTGACGTTATGATGCCGGGCACGCTGGGGGCGGGGCCACGGCCATACAAGGGGAAACGCTATGGTTTTCCCTTGTGTGGTCATGGCCCCGCCCCCAGCATGCCCGGTGTCATGATGTCACTTCCCTGTGTCATGTATGCGGCGCGTGCGCGCTTTGTGCACACACGCACCAGGAGCCACCCCAGAGTCCCCCACCAGCAAGGTAAGTCCGACTTGGCAACCCTATCCTGAAGAACAGTTCTGAGGATCTTCAACAAAGAGTTGCCGGAATATGAATCCGTAGAATTTCCCTTCATCTTTGTTTTGTTTGTATTTTGTTAACTTCTTATATTTTGATATTTATACCCCACTTTTCTCCTCAAAATGATGGATAACATCACCCCCTCCTCCATTTCATCCTCACAGCAACTCTGAGGTGTAGGTGAGGCTGAGAGAGACCTGCCCAAGGTCACCCAGCAAGTTTCTAGGGCAACATGAAGGTCTGAACGAGGGTCTCCCTGGTTCTAACCAGTACAACATTGCTGGCTCCTAGCTTATTACTCTGTAGCACAGTCTCACTTAGTGTTAAAATCAGGGGTCATTTCCTGCAGGAGCGCACAGGAGCGGAGCTCCGGCAGTAAAGAGCCCAGGGGGCGGGCACATGCAACAAGCCCCGACCCCTGCTCCCAGCAGCCCTAAGTCAGAGCAAGAAGCAGCCAGGTAAGCTGCAGAGCCCCCCCCCTGGCCCCCCGGTCCAAAACAGTCCAGTGGCACCTTTAAGGCCAAGTTTTATTCAGGTACAAGCTCTCCCTCCTCTGTGAGGACAGATCTGCACATTCCCGCCCCCAATAGCTAGCAATCCAAAACAGTCTGGTGGAGCCTGAGCAGTGGGTGTTGCCTCCTGACACACTTCCAGTGATGTCAGGGGGTGTGGTATATGCAAATGAGTTATGCTAATGAGTTGTGCTAATGAGCTCCTGCACCTCTTTTTCTACGAAATGACCCCTGGCTAAAATGTCCTCAATCTTAAAGTTCCCAACTTCCAGGTGGGGCCCGGCGGTCTTCTGGAATTACAACTGATCTGTATGTGACAGAGACCAGTTCCCCTGGCGAAAATAGCCGTTTTGGAGGGTGGACTGTATGTCATTATACACCACTGAGGTCCCTGAACAGGCTCTACCCCGAAATCGCCAGGAATTTCCCAACCTGGAGTTAGCAACCCTACCAAATTTATTTGTTTATTTAAACATTTATATCTTGCATTTCCTAAGGTTCAAGGTGGCTGATTACAATCCATAATTTAAAACACCAAAGAACAATCAAAACTCCAATTCCCACCCAACCTAACATAATCTCTGTAGCTTGCACTCCATGAAAAGTTCTGGTATACCAAAATAGCCTTATAATGCCTCCTAAACATGTGCAAGGATGGTATTCCCCTCACCTCCTTGGGGAGCCCATTTAGAAACGTAGGCTCTCATTGATGCCAGGCAGGGCTTTTTTGTAGAAAAAGCCCAGCAGGAACTTATTAGCATAATAGGCCACACCCAACAGCAGAAACTCAGCACATCAGGCCACACCCTGATGTCAC